TTCACTTCAATTCTAATTTTGTTTAACAACCTGGTAGAGCTGAAGTCATACTTAGCAAAATCAATTCCTGCATCGTTGACTGCAACTCAAGCTCTTTAAGAGTGCATTACCTTATCTCGCCCCAATTAGGTGCTGCAAACTTCTCGTTTCAAACACAAAGTGAAAAACTAAATAAAAAATGGGTAGGTAAATTTTTCGAGATTTTAGCAGGGAAAAGGAGTAAATTTCCCAGCCTGAGAGTTATGGCTTAACATCCGAGTTACCCGAGTAGCATGATGACGACAATTAAGCTTTTCAATATCAAACTGTTTCAAACGACAGTTGCTTTTGGGGAGGTGGACAAGTTTGAATCTAATTTGCCAAAGTCCGTATTAGAAAAATAGATTATGTAGAGAATAGTTGCATTAATAAGCCTTGGCTTTTTCTCGGTAATCTCTATAGCAAGATCTCCTAGTTCCTAAAGGTTCCCAGGATTAGCTGAGCTACGGCAAAGCCATAGAAGAAACAGACGCAGGGAGGTGGAATTCCCTCATTTGGGATGTGTGTGCCTGTAGTGTGTGTCCTGACATGGAGCTTAGTCATTAAATTAATTTGGGTTGGTTTCACCAAGCCAAACAAGGGCTATTGATTGGCGGGTTGGCTGTGAGTTCTCCACGCTTATGACCGCACTTACTCCCTATGCGAAGTTGAACAACCGCGCATTCAAGCCTGTCTGAGTGCTCATAAAATGACTTTGCTCAGCGGTGACAACGTTGCGTGCTCCACAAGGTGGTCCCTGAAAACTAAGAAGCTATATTTTTTAGTCTACTTGCAATTCAGACAACACCAAGATTAGTTAAGGCAACCCTTAAGAAAATTCATCCATTGAACAATTCTTTTTGTCTTTTTTGCATTAAAATTTTAGCAATAGATCTTAGCCTACGTTGTTTCAATGTGCTCAAAGTAACTGATAATTTATTATTAATTTATTTAATTTTATAGTATATATTCATTTAAAGTTTACCTTTGTAAACAGTGATACTCATCTCACAATAAACATGCACGAGGATATAGCAAGTTGGAATTTAGTCTATTAATTCATCACTTCAAAACTTCAAATTATTTTTTTAAACTTTTTTTTGCCGAGGGGAATGTTTAACCACTCAATATATTGGGTGAAATATTATTTAAAAAAAATAAGAATATGTTAATTCTATATTGTCATATTGTCCGAGTTAATGAAAGCAAATAATCATTTTACCGTTTGTCCATTTGCTAAAGTGACAGTAATATTGTCGCGTGACAGCAAGAAACAGGGAGAAATATTTATTTAAAAAAGTTAAAATTTGAATAAAGTCGAAACAAAAAATAACGCCTTAAAATAGGATCAGCAATTAATTTGCCTCCAATAAGTTGAATGGAGTTTGTTAGTAGAGTTTCAGTTCGTCTTTATTTGTACATTTTTGGTATTTCAGCCGCAATTCTTCTAACTTAAAGAATTGTATCCAAGGTATTATTCAGCCTTTATTATAACATCATCGATAGGCCCTACATTTTCATAGAAAATATGAATAATCTGGTCGTATAGTTTGACTAGTTTTTTAGGTGCTTGATTAACCCTATCCTGACGGTTTACCTATGTGAATACCTTTTTAGACGTTTCGTAAGACTATGTCAAATTCTTCTCCCGGTGTGAATTCAATCGATACATATTTTTAAGAGTACTCTGGACTAAAGCTTCTTGACTAAATTCGCTTAATTGCATTAAATGCAGTTGTATTGTCCATCAATTTGGATATAAAAGCGAAGACCCCAGAACCGCAGTGTTAACAAAACCGAATCAAAAACTGTACCCCNNNCCCCCCCCCCCCCCCCCCCCTCCACCCCACACTAGAGTTTTCTGTTAAATGATGGGTGTCTGCAACGGATTGTTCAGACGGTAAACGATTGACGAGCATTCAAAGTACCTTTAAGAATAATTTACTATTAATCATGTATTTCAGCCTTCATGCAAATGTAGGCATTTAAGTGACTTCTCTGAATTTTCTGCCTCCTATCACTTCTGGTATTTTGCTGCTCGATATAGGGAACCGTGAGCGATGAACTATAAAAATGACTTAATTCTACGAAGACAATGCTTTGATAGTGCAACTTTCACAATGTCTAAAAAATGTGCTTTAAATTGCAATGTTATTGAGGTAATTTCCAGACAAAATTTACTCGGATGTAGAATACAAACATTTTGAGAATTATCCCAGATTATGCAAAAAACAATATACCCCGATGAATATAAAGTAATCTATTTCTTATTCTATGTCACATGTTAGAGATAATTTAAAATCCAATTCAATTTAGACCTATAAAAAAAGTCCACGATAATACTGTGACATAACCCAACTTTAATTTGGCTTGATTAGTATAAATAAGTAGTGGAAACATATAGGTCGTTTTATGGACGAACAATTCCATCGGTCAATTCTCGTCAGCATAAACGAAAACACGTCTGAATTACCATTGCTCTCCCAAGTACGCAACACTTTTAGGCAAGTTCTTGAAGAATGGGAAAATAAATCCTAACATTACGGTAATAAATGCTCTTCCTTCCTACCTACACGTATAAATTTTGCAAACAAAATGAAGGGGGGGGGATAATTAGCGCATAAATTAGCCGTAAAACTGCCCATTTTTTTCCTTTCGCAGAACATCGATTCACGCTATGCCGATCCCTGTGGCTAATTTGGTCAATGCTTTTCGGAGCTGCAGTCAACGCCGATAATCCCCGCGGAATGGCTAGCCGATTCATGGCCAATATATGGGCACTGTTTGCGCTGGTATTTCTCGCCTCCTACACAGCCAACCTGGCAGCATTTATGATTTCAAAAGACGACTTCTATGATATCATGGGCATCCACGATTGGAGGGTGTGTTGGGATTTACTTCTCAATTTTAAACAAGACAATGTTACTGGCGCATAGTGAAATTTTGTGGTCATATAAGTGTTGAGGCCAAACTGAGTAGCCATTCGTCTTGCCTCAAACAGTCTACATTTGCTCTATTTTGCTAAGTAAAAGACAAATTTCGATGTGTGTGTGACAAGGTGTTTCCTCTCGATAAAATAAGCAGTTGACAAAGAGTTGAGTTCTAAGTCACAGAGTGATTTAGAATTAATATCAGGAAAAAGAAAGCTTTATAAATGTTGCATAGGAATGCAAGAATACTGCACACGCTTAGTTGAACTATTACTTAATAGAAGATGTAATGAAGAGTAAGTTGAGCAATTATATGCTTAGTGTGAAAAGAAAACACGGATCACTAAAGCTGTATGAAAGGATCGGTAGGTGTTGGATTATATATAGCTTTAGAGCAGTTAATATACTAATGAACTGTAGAAGCTGTCAATTCAATTATTTGTTTTACCAATACCAACGTAAGCGCTTTCTCAAATGTTTAAACACCTCAAATTGAAGGCGAAATACACTGATTCATAGCCTCTTCTTTTGCCATCCTCCAGCTTCAACAGCCGTGGAACCACAAACCGCCGTTTAGATTTGCTACCATTCCCAGTGGCGCAACCGAGGAGAACATTAAGATCAACTTTCCCGAGATGGCTGCTTACATGCGTGCTTTCAATCGAACAACAGTGGTTGAGGGCTTGAAATCCCTCAAATCCGAGTAAATTCTTTCTTCAGCATGCGTATATTGACTTACATTACACTGTGTGTCATTGCTCAATTCAACTCTCGTTCATGGTTCCAATGAACCGTTCATGCATGAGGCTAAAATCCGCTTTACAATTGGGACCATTGGATGCATAATGTCTTAATTTTGGATGTGATGAGGTTTCTGGGACAGGAAGGTTTTTCATTTCTTCACTGTCTTAGCTCAGAGGTGTTGAACTAAATCTTTTCAAATGTGTATTGGGTTTAAACAGGCTATTCAAGATGTTAGAAAAGATATTGGCAAGGCTACTAATTTTCTCATTATTTATCACTATCCTTCCTATTTAACACCTCTCTGTGAAATTAGAAATAAAAAAAATACCACGTGATTAAGGCCACTGCTTATTACAATTGGAAGGTACAACCAAAATGAGCTCCAAATTCCTTGAAAGGGTAATCACCAAATCCATTTCTCTTTAAATCTGAAACCTAGATGTGCGTTTTTTTTTAAATTGATAATTATTAATTATGTACGCTTCGGTGTACATTTTTTTATTATTTTAATGATTAAAACTGGTTCTTTAGTTATGAGTTACCAAAATTTCCATTTCGAGAATCAATGCGTGTAGAAGCGCAAATATTTACAAATTATTTAAATTCATGCTAAAATAAATCCTTCGTGGGAAGAAATTTGCTGGAATTCCAAAATGTATGATATTTTTGCTGTAACACTTTTTATCCCACAGTTTTGCGAGGTAAATATTACGTTTTTACTTAAAGTGCATATAAAGGCATCCAATCAGTTCTCAAGTCTTTAATCTCCACAGCAACAAGGAAAAATTTTATTTCCTACCACTTGTAGACATTCCCCCTCCCCCCCCCCCCCCCCCCCCCCCACCCCAATGCTATTGGCTTGTGATCCTACCAAGACGACAAGTGAAAACATTTAAAAGCATACACTCTCGTTGTGATAAGCTGGTACTTGAGCAAAATTCTGCGAACGCAAATTGATTCTCTTTATCTGCATAGTTTAGCTTTCACTCCTATTTGAGGTTAAAAAGAGAAATAACAAGTTTTTACACTAATCCCAATTTCTAATAGAGCCATTTGGCACTTTGAGGGTTCAGCCATTTAGTTGACTCCATCTTGTCGTTTCAATCAGGACCAATCCTCTATCTCGAAGTTCTTGTATCCATTAGAAAAGTAAAACCAAAGATTGGCATTACAATCCTAACTGATAATTGTGTGACCAGCTTGGAAAACCATTGTTATTAGATTGTAATGAATGTCATCAAGTCTTCCCGATATGCTCTGCTTTATACATCTCTCGGCATATCAGAACCTTGGAGAATTAGTGTATAACCAGAAACGGTTCCATTCAAAATATTTATTTCCAATGGCAGGCGTTATGATAGATATCAGTAGCCCTTTAGTTGACTTCGGGGAACATTAAAGTGGCAAAAAGTCGAGAGGGGGACAGAATAATGATTCACAATCGTAAAAGGAACAGACAGACACAAAGGTAGAAAAAATGTGAGGTGGGTACGGTGAAATTAGTCGAATATGAAATGCAGTGGGTCAACTGCCGGTTAATAGACTTTTTTCCGTATGAGTATACGTTGCCCAAGGGGCACCACGTCGAGGTAAGTCTATCGTACACCCCCTATTCAAAATATAAATTTGCCTATCTAGCTTGTTGTAACTGTTGGATCCTCAATTAGGTTTTCAGGTGAAAAAATCATTTTAATCATCAACCTGATGACCGGAATTAAACAGTGCCCTTAGTCTTTCAGATTTCGTACAGTACACAGGTGAGCATTGACTTCGGAGATTTAACCCCAACACTCATTTCCATTGACTAATTCGCTTTTACAATATTCTTTCGCCTCGTTATTTCTACGCCATTAAACGACTTTGGTTAAGTCAGTTTAACAAAATTCTGGTGGCATTTGTCGGCTGATTAGGGGG